CGGTTACGGTTTCGGTATAATGAATTCGGACAAATTCAGTATAAACTAACCGATACGAGTCTAAAATTGAACTTAAAAAAAATCACATATCAAAAGATACATCAAACCCGACGAAGTACCAAATTTACATCCTACTTATTAGTTCATCAATGCTACCAATGCTTGTAACAGAATAAAAAATAAAAAATAAAACCTTGACGCATTTTATCCTTAAAATTAAGATAATATTGTTAATTGGTAGTGAAGATGGAGCAAGTCTAACTCCCAGATTTGTGCAATAAAATGTCCATTCTTGGGTGGCAAGTTCTGGATAATGAGTGGTCCACTCAGTGAGAGGATGGAAGGTTAGTCCTTTTCAACCTTCATATCCACCACATGTAGAAGGGCATTTCCGTCTTTAAATACCATATGCATTGTATATTATTGCAAAACTTGCAAATGAAGCAAGGACAATGACAATTTTTATTTATTTTTACCACGGACAATGGCATTGACACAACCGGTTTGGGGTGCTTCGGAGTTGGAGTTGATTGTCTCATTTCTGAAGGACAGATATACCAATCGGACAAATAATAGCTGTCTTTTTACTTACAAATTTAATTGACAATAATAGGAGACATGATATTATTGGTAATTGATGATAGCATCAAACATGATACTATAAAATTAGTACATTTAATATATACGGTAAGCGTAAAAAAAACTTCTGCTATGTACAAAATGTGTACATATTCTACATTTTTTTTCAAATTGAACAAATAAAAATATTGTCAATTTGAAAACTGAAATAACTAAAATGTAGCAAAATAAAAATAAAAATACTAATTTAATTATTTAAGGATATTAAGAAATTTTTATATATATTTTTTTTTGTTAAAATTGACCATGAACAGATATTAAGAACAATTTAAATATATTTTTAAATATTAAAATTTTATATGGACATTATATAACATGTTTTTTTTCTTCACTTTATATATATATAAATATAAAAAAATAATATAAATTGGATACTCCTCCTTGGAACTTAGGAGGAAGCTGCCGTTTGAACTAGACCTGTCAATGGATCAGATTTTGATCTGAAGCCGATCCGATCAGGCGGATATGGATTGAACAAAAAATTCGATAACCCGTTTGTAATTCGAATCCGATAACCCATTTGCTTAACAAATCGGATATGAATTTTGCCGATCCGATCAGATAATAATCCGATCCAAATTTATATATATATATATATATATATAAAAGAGTCTGCCCAAACCCATCTCCAAGCCCACTTCTTATTCCTAAACCCATTCTTTATTTAATCTCTATCTAAACCCTAACCCTATAATATATGTTCTCCTACTCACACAGCACTACCCTTACCGCAAAGCAAATTTCCCCAAACACGACTCCCATGCAGTAGAGCTGCAAAATAAGAAAAATAAGGAACCCATCGATCGGCGATCGTAAAATATTACTCCTCTCAGGTTAGTGTTCTTCCTTTCTCTCTCAACCGATCTCACTTCTTTTCTCTTCATATTAGTGTTCTTCCTTTCTCTCTCATCCGATCTCACTTCTCTCCTCTTCATATTGGCATAATCGAAATTGGAAGGTTTTTTTTGTTTTTTTTGTTTTTTTTTTTCATGGTGTGAGATTTAACATTGAAATTGATATGGAAGTGTAGATCAGTGCATACACATGCATTGATTCACATATACAAATTTTTCTTTTAAATTTTTTTGTTGATATATATTTTACCCTAATTTGTGTTTTTTTTTTTTTCATAAAATCTTTTAGTTATTTTCTTTTGTTTTCCTTCTATTATTATTTTTTCTCTCAATTTAATTTTTCTTATATATTCTGGTGTAAATATTTTCATAATTTTATTTCTAGAAACTCTCTCTAAATTTTTTTTTTTCTTCACGTTTCCGTTGTAGTATTTGCTCCAGCAATGTCTGAAAAAGCTAAAGAAAATGATGGTGATGGGGACGTCGTTGAAGTACATGATGGTCTATTCCCTATTGCCTATGCTGTGGTAGAAAGTGAAAGGAATGAGACATGAACTTTTTTCTTAGATAATTTGAAGGATATTCTTGGTGCAGATGCACATGCCAGACATTGGACAATTATGTCTGATATGCAAAAGGTATAATTTTATTCTTTAACTGTTCATTATTACATAGTTCGTTATTAAATTGTTCATAATTACTTTTAATTTATTTTATTTTGCATTTCAGGGTATTGAGGTTGCAATTTCTAACTTATTTCCTGAGGCAAGCCATATGATTTGTTATAGGCACTTGTTTAACAGTTTTAGGAAGGATAATCCTAGGTTGTTGTTGAATTTTTTTTTCTGGAGAGCTGCAAGATCATGCAATGAACTTGAATTTAATAATGTAATGAATCACATGAATGGGATTTCTATAGAAGCTCATGATTGGCTAATGGACAGGCCTTTAGAAATATGGTTTAGGGTGGGGTATGGTGAGACATTAAAGAGTGACCATATCACAAACAATTTGACTAAATCCTTTAACAATTGGGTTGGTCATTATAGGTGTAAGCCAATCTTGAATATACTTGAGTGGATTAAGATAAAATTAATGGTGAGAATCCGGAAAAGGTATTAAAAAGCTTTAGCTTGGAAGGGAAATTTGACACCAAATGCCTTGAAAAAATTAAACAAATCCATTCAAAAATCAAGAGGGTATAGAGTTTGTCCTGCTGGGAGGAAGGAATTTGAAGTTCATGAAGTAGTTGGAGTAAGTGTGGTTAATTTAAATTTGAGGACTTGCTCATGTAGAGCATGGCAGATATCAAAGATACCTTGTAGGCATGCAGCTGATGCTATTTCATGGAATAGGTAGGATCCTGAGCATTTTTGTGATCCTTTTTACACCAAGGACACATACCTACTTGCCCACAGTGGGATGATTCATCCTTTAATGGATGAGAAGTTGTGGCCAAAAACTCCATCAATTGACTTGTACCCTCCTAAACCAAGAAGATTACTTGGTAGACCAAGAAAAAATTGAAGAAGGGAACAAGGTGAACCTGTCCCTGCAAGTGCAATACCTAAGAGGTCAACAGTTGTAATATGCAAGTACTGCCTACAAACTGGTCATAATAGGAGGACTTGCCAGAGAGCTCAAATAGTAAGAGAAAGAGCTGCAGTAGTAAGAGGGAGGGTTGCAAGTGCAAGAGGAAGAGCTCAAACAGCAACAGTGAGTGTTTCAGCCAATTTTAAACTTGCTATGTTTTCAAAATTTTCTTTTATTACTGATTTTTATACCTTCTAATTGTTAATTTAGGGAAACATAAGTTCTCAAACGCAATGATCAGAAGGAGCAGGAACTTCTGGTGTTACACAACAAGTATAAGTCCTTATTTATGTTCACTATAACAAATTTTCAATTCTATGATTACCCAATACTGTACTTAACTAATTTTTTTTGTTTAAATTTTTTCCAGTCCCAAACTGCTAGGAAAGGTGGAAGAAATGGAAGTGCAAGAGGTGGAAGAAACGTATGTGTAAGAGGAGCTTCTCAACCAAATGTGAGTGGCATGGGTGGTGCTTCTCAACCAACTGTGACTGGCATAGGTGGTACTTCTCAACCAACTATAAGTGGCATGTGTGGTGCTTGTCAACCAACTGTGAGTGGCATGGGTAGTGCTTCTCAGCCAAATATGAATATGAGAAGTTGTTCACAACCAATTCAGAGTGGTAGCAGAGTTGGAAGACAGCCAAACCAGAGTGGCAGCAGAGGTGGAAGACAGCTAAGTTAGAGTGGTATTGGTGTTAATCCTCCACCATGGGTAAGCAATAAATTACCTAATATTTATCCTTATACATATTAATTTATTGTTGCATTACTATTCTAATCATGACATTCAATTACAGAGAGGGTAGCAAAAGGAATACCAAGGAAAGAAACACAGACTGCTAGCAGGTGGGGACTCATTTGGGTTTTATTCACTACACAACAGTGAGCTGGTTTTTGATTCCAATGTTTTAATGGTTTAAGGATTTCTGTATCAAAAATTGACCTGCTTTGTTTGAAACTTGAAACTTTTAAGTTGTGGTTGACATTGGTTAACCAATTCAGAATGTTCTAATGGTTTTAAGATCTCAGTAATAGTGATGTTTGCTTTGTGGTTGTAATGCATGTGCAGTGGTAATAAATTAATGATGCTTTTTATGGTAAATGTACTCAATATAGGTCAATATTTATTGCATAATTTTATTTGAAATAAATAACAAAAACAGTTAACCAGAAGCAAGCAAATACAACTATCTTCAAATACAAAATAGCTGTTTCAACAACTTGTAACTTTGAATTCATAGCTTGTCTCTACAACCTCAATTCAACAATAACCTCAAGCAGAAGTTGATTTGCAGGTGAATACTCCTTAGCAGCACCAACACTAATAACAACAGCAGCAATAGAACTATCTATAGGGTTAGACCATTCCAAAAACTACATGTTTGATTTTCACAAGTATAATACAACATTCCTTTGTTGTGATTTTTGTCATTCTATGTAACCTTCACTGTAGCAAAATCCCCACAGCGACATATTTTGTTCATATATTGTATATAGCCTCTGCCACCTTTGCCTCTACCTTCACGACTATTTACGCTTGATTGAGACATCACTATAAATAGGAGAATATAAGAGAGGAAGAGAGGAAGTGCCAAACATTGTGCTCAGCTATCTCCTATTTATAGAAGCCAAATATGATTGTTGGAGAGTTGAGGGGCAATCTGGGCATTAACATGGACTTCATGGGCAATCTGGACATTTAAGTTACTTTATAACTTAAAGCCAAACATAACATAATCGTTAATTTTTGTAGTTAAACAGAACCGTTTAGGGGCAATCTGGGCATTAAAAGCTCATTTTTTGCTGATATCGGCAAATAGTAACTTTGACTAGCTTTAACCGTTGCCTGAGGGGAGTGACTGATGTGTGTTAGAAAAATTAGAAGTTCTGACTAAATTTTTGTAAAAGTGGGAGATCTCCTTGAAATTAGGACATCCTTCAGGAAGCCTAAGTGAAGTTAACCTTTAAAAAAAAAAGTAAAATAAAAATACGAAATATTATAGGGATATAGATATACACTAAAACGGTCCACGGAAGGGCAATGTTGCTTTTTACGTATGCCAAGCATTTTCTTGGCATATTTTCTGCTTCTTCACGTGGGTCTTGCAGAAGACTGGCAGAGAATTGACTACACTTCACGTGGTTCATGCAGAAGGCTGGCAGAGAATTGATTACTCTTCATATGCAATCAATGGAAAGATAAATAAAAATGTTGGTGTAGGTAACATACAGTATGGAATCAATAAAGACCACATTATCATACCCACCAAACATGAAGTGTGAAGACACAACACCCTCCGGTCTCAATATATATCGAGACTCCTCTCTTGCATTATCTGTCTCTTTCTAAAATTTGGAGGTCAAGCCCATTTACAGAATCCACCACTACTATATTTTCTCTCTAAAATTCTCGATCTCTCTCCGTACCCTCATGGTTCACTTGTTCAAGCATTCATTTGCTCTCTCTGCGTTTCATCTAGTAGAGCCGGTAATTATCTTTTCTCTAATCCTATTTTCAGTAATTTTTATTTCGAATGATTTTATTACATAATTACAACTCCATATTACTATAAGCATTTGCTCTCTTTATAGTTATTTGTGGGTTCTTAAACATTTTTTTGTTGGTTAATCTCTTATTTGTATTCCTTGATAAGTTTTATATTTGAAGTGTCTTTTGTTATTTATGATTATTTACTTGTGAGCTCTGAAATTTTTATGTGACAAAGTTTCTTTTAATGTAGATTAGGGTAATTTCTTGTGAGAGGAAAATAATTGGAATGAGCAGTATCGGTAAAGGTATATAATAATTTTTTTGTATAATTAGAATTTGTTGCTCACAAAATGTCTTGTTGAATTTATGTTAATAGAATTGTTTGGGTGTTGATTCTGTGTGACAAAATATTATAATCAAACCTTTCAACAAAACGTGCAATCTCCTCCACTGATTTGGTTGAATATGACATGTTGATATATATATATATATATATATATATATATATATCAAATATGACATGTTAAGCTGCCTCTTAACAGTATGAAAGTGTATTAGAGATCTAATTTTGCTAGAGAATCAAATCCCATGGGTTGTTCCAAGAGAAATATTCCAAGCAAGATATGGTTGGGATCATGATATCTACAGCCAAGTAATTTCGTTTGCAAATATGGTTATTTCTGGTTCAACAAAACGTGCAATCTCCTCCACTGATTTGGTTGAATTGACATGTTGATATATATATATATATATATATATATATATATATATATATATATCAAATATGACATGTTAAGCTGCCTCTTAACAGTATGAAAGTGTATTAGAGATCTAATTTTGCTAGAGAATCAAATCCCATGGGTTGTTCCAAGAGAAATATTCCAAGCAAGATATGGTTGGGATCATGATATCTACAGCCAAGTAATTTCGTTTGCAAATGTGGTTATTTCTGGTTCAACAAAACGTGCAATCTCCTCCACTGATTTGATTGATATCTTCCAGCAGAGTTCTGTCCATCTTTTGGACATTATAAGACGTAAGATAATCAAGTTTGTGTTACCAAACCACAATCCTAGAAGGCTTCAGCATTCAAGAATGAAAATTTTCATCTTCCTAAAGTTTTCATTTGTGAGTATTCTGAGAGGTTGTTTGTGAATTTAATGGCTTATGAGTATAATTCTTGGACTAAAATCCTGGTTGATTGGATTGTTGCAGAGTGATGAGGAAAGTGTGAGAATCTTCTTGTGTTATAGTGGTGGAAATATAGCATTACTGTTTAGACGGATGACCCATGGATTGGAGAAAGTTGTAAATCCGATTAAGGTTTACCAAAACCCAAATGTGATACTCATACAGCCTCTAAAGTATTAGTGCGCATTGTCATAAAATCATATTTCTAGTATTTTAAAATTAACTAGTGGCTTTGTTCCTCAATAATCATTATCAATTATATTTTTTATTCTTCTCAATTGTATAATCCAAAATTAGAAATTTCTGCTACCTGTTAAACTTTGGTCACTTGCGAAGTAGATTATTTTGTGGGGTTCTAAGGAATATGTAAATAACTTTCATATCCTTTTAAGAAGGAAGCCGTTGGGCAATCTTCCTGGTCAAACTTCCAAGTCAATATAGACTTGTAACGACCGTCCATTCATTAGCCAGTTGCCACGTGTTCTCATCGCCTTGGATCTTCCGGGGTTGTTATCAGAATATTCATGCCGTGTGGGGGAGGTTTCCGTTAGCTCCAACTACCGTTTCTTTTTATATAACGTTGAAATGATTCAATACTTTACAATTATTTCAAAAATATGTTTTAAATTTATCATTTCCCATCCCCATTCCTCGGTCAAATTTTTTACCTCCATCCCCGCCCCGTACTTGTTTAATTTTTAACCCCCTCTCTCGTCCCTTCCACGCCACATTAGCCTCCGACCTTGCCTCTGCATAACTTTTTTAAATTTTAATTCATCTTTAACAAAATTAACAGAGTCATAATATTTTTTAATTTAATAATTTAATAAAGTTTTAATATAATTATAACAATTTAAAGCATGATAAGATGTTTAATACATAACGATTATGTTTTTTTTTCTATGCTACGAGGAAGAGTAGCCCCGGCTATGCTGCAGGGATTCATTTTTAGAAGTGAATATATTATATATATAGTTATGTAATTTAGTAATATTTTATAGCATATAAGGGTGATTTTGTAAAAATGCACTATAAACGGGACGGGAAAGAGTAGCCCCGCCTATAAATAGGGCGGGGATCCGCTGGACATGGGAATTTTGCCATCTCTAGTTTTTTTACAATATTTTCTCAATTGAATACATGCTGCAAATTTGCAATAGAAGTTTTGGCAATAATTTCGGGTGTAAAAAAGTTGAAAAAAAAAAAAAACACATAAAGCAAAAAGTAAAAAAAAAAAAATGAGAAGCTCATGTGTTTATGTCTAAAGTTACATATATTTAACAATTAGTGAAATCAAATTAATATCAAATTAAAGTTGCCGAATGAGTTCATTAGAGACGTTATCCACTAACTTTAAAGTCCAAAGTTGGTTGGTGTGTGTTTTTGTTTTTTTTTTTTTTTTGAAACTTCTAAATATTTTTTTATAATATTTTAAATACAAAAGGAGTCAATAAAAGGTTGATAAATGAATTACTAAATAAATTATTACCTATTTAGTGCACTACTAATTGTTTTCATTTTAGTTATTGAAAATGCATTAGTGGATTTTAAAAATTGACACGACAGTTTCATTGCATCTTTGACCCGAATCAAGGAAAAATGAATCTTGTTCTTTTATTGATCAGAAATTTTTTAATGAAAAATACGAATCGGAGTTTGAAAAAGGAGAAAGAGAAGTGTTATGTATATTTTGTAACAAATATATTCTATTACTAAATATAATTATTTTTTTTATGTTTTTAAATTTTTAGTAATAACAAGTATTAATAAATATTATTTTTGTTTTTTATTTTTACTCAAGGAACACAAAGTCATGTTTTTACTTTTTTAAGTCTCTAAAAATAAAAAACAAAAACATTACTAAACACACTTAATATTTTCTCAACTGTATTTACATACTGCAAATTTGTAATAGAAGTTTTGACAATAATTTCGGATGTAAAAAACACCGAAAGCAAAAAATAAAATTAAAAAAATAAGAAGGCGTTCTCGTGTTTATGTCTAACTTACTTATATTAATGCAAATATGCTTCTATTAATTGTCATCCAAAGTACCTTTCATGTGGGGTCATGCATGATCATTTATATTAATTACGGAATAAGTTGAATTCAAATCAAATACGGAGTTGCAAATGGGTCAGCGACTTAATAGTATTAAAATCTTTCTCCCTTTCTCCCAGGAGGTGAAGCATTCAAATATCAAAAGAAATAAGTATCAATTAAAAAATAAAAAATAGGAGAAAGTGTAAAAAACTTCCTGTTGGCGAATTGCAACTAACTTTCGAATTATAAAAAATTCTCTTAAACTATGAATTTGTTGACAAATTGTAACTAACTCCCGTATTATAAAAAATTCTCTTAAACTATGAATTTGTTGGATTTTACCCCACCACGGTAGCTGCCCACGCCGAAAAAAAATTCTGACCAGTTTACCCTTTAGAAGCGTTTTAACTTGAGCCTCACCAAATTTTTTTTTTTGGGTGACGACACTTTTGCACTTCAGCAAGCACAACCCACACGGGCCAAACCACAGCAAGCTAGAGAGAGAAGAGATGAGAGAGAAGACTGATGGCGGCTCGCGGCGGCGTGAGTATTGGAATCGTCGTCGCTGGAGCCACCACGGCCAAGGCGATAAGAGGAGCCCAAAAATCATCGTCGGAAGCACGGAGGCGTACAACGTCGGCAACCCAGAAGAATATGATTCAGAGGTCCACAAAACAATTGGGTTTGCTTATGATTGGGGTTAAAATTTGTAATTGGGTTTGCTTGTGATGGCGACAGCGGCGAGCTCGGCTAGATTGAATCGGTCATGGATAATGGATTGAATCTGCCGTGGAAGAACTGCGGCGGTTAGCTCGCTGGCGTGACTGGCACAGCGGTGGGCGACGGCGTGACAGGCGCAGCGGTGGGCGACGAGAGACGGGCTGGGAACTGATGGTAGCGAGGACGGGCTGAAGGTCGTGTAGACGGAACTGATGGCGGTTCGCTGTGGCATGACTGGCGTAGCGGTGGGCGACGGCTGGTAAAAAAGGCAGCCAAATTTTTTTATCGAAAATTTGTTTGGTCAATGGACTCTTGAAGTTAGGCTATATTAATCAATTACCTCATAACTCTCTCCTGATATAAAGAAATCATGGGTTTTGAATTGTGAAAATCTTTTCAACCAATTCATATAAATAAGAAATAAGAAAAATAAAATGATTGCAATTTGTGATTTAAATATGATTAATTATTGAATTACCCACAAACATATCATCCAATTTGGTGAGATCGGAGGATGTGTTGGTGTAGGGTTGTGCTGTGAAGAAGACGAACTGTGAAGATGTACTGTGAAGAAGTGAACAGTGAAGATGTGTATATATATATATATGCGTGTATATACAGAATAGCCTAAGGGAGTGTTTGGCTATAACAAATACTGTTTGAGTAAATATCATCACAATAAGGGACATTAGAGGCTTTTCATGCACATAAGGGCATTTTAGTCATTATATTATACATTGTTTGTCACGTGACAGCCACATGGTCCTTTGCCGGTAAGTTTTGACCGGAAGCCTGGCGACTGGGGTGATCTGCAACAAAAATATAGTTGAAGGGGGATTTTTGAAATTTTTGTAATTTAGGGGATTTGTTGCTTATTGACCAATAATTTAGAAAGGTTTTTTGCATTTTATCCTAAAAAAATAAAAATACGGAGTATTATATAGGGATATAGATATACACTAAAAACGGTGCACGGAAGGACAATTTTGCTTTTTACGCACGCATGCCAAGCATCTTGGCAAATTATCTGCTTCCTCACGTCGCTTTTACAGAAGGCTAGCAAAGAATCAACTACTCTTCACGTGGTTCATGCCAGAAGGCTGGCACAGAATTGATTACTCTTCATATGTAATCAATGGAAAGATAAATAAAAATATAGGTGTAGGTAACGTACAGTATGGAATCAATAAAGACCATTATCATACCCACCAGACATGAAGTGTGAGGACACAGCAGCCTCCATCTCAATACATATCGCGAGTCCTCTCTTGCATTAAATTTCTCTCTCTAAAATTTGGAGGTCAGGCCCATTTACAGAACCCACCGCTACCATATTTTCTCTCTCTAAAATTCTCGATCTCTCTCCATACCCTCATGGTTCACTTGTTCAAGCATTCATTTACTCTCTCTGCTTTTCATCTAGTAGAGCCGATAATTATCTTTTCTCTAATTCTATTTTCAATAATTTTTATTTATTTTTATTTCGAATGATTTTATTACATAATTACAACTCCATATTACTATAAGCATTTGCTCTCTTTATAGTCATTTGTGGGTTCTTAAACATTTTTTTGTTGGTTGATCTCTTATTTGTATTCCTTGATAAGTTTTATATTTGAAGTGTCTTATGTTATTTATGATTATTTACTTGTGAGCTCTGAAATTTTTATGTGACAAAGTTTCTTTTAATGCAGATTAGGTTTATTTCTTGTGAGGAGAATAATTGGAATGAGTATCGGTAAAGGTATATAATAATTTATTTGTTTAATTAAAATTTATTGCTCATAAAATGTCTTGTTGAATTTATGTTAATAGAATTGTTTGTGCGTTGATTCTGTGTGACAAAATATTATAGGAGAAAAATCACATAACCTCTCGTACTATTATGTAAATTTCTACACATGTAAAGACATTTCTGTAACAGGGGCATCCTAATATTTTCTTAGGATGCATTCAAACATGTTTTTTTACTGTGCATCCCAAATATGGATGATGTCATCGTTTCTAAATCACTTATTTCAAAATAAAAAAAATAACATAAAAAATAGCATACTATTAAGTTGCGTTTGTTTGACGCCATTCTGATCTTTTTCTATAGTGGTCAAAGCAAGTACACGTCCAGTGACGATATCCTTTTAAAAAGGAAGCCGTTAGGCAATCTTCCTGGTCAAACTTGTCAATATAGACTTGTAACGAGCGTCCATTCATCAGCCATTTGCCACGTGTTCTCATCGCGTTGGATTTTCCGGGGTTATTATCAGAATATTCATGCCGTGTGGATAGGTTTCCGTTACCTCCAACTACCGTATCGTTTTATATAACGCAGAAATGATTCCAGACTTTACAATTATTTCAAAAAAACATGTTTTAAAACTTTATCGTTCATTTAATTTACCATAAATAAAAAATAAAATAAAAACATTTGCGCGTTTTTTCAGCTAAACAATATTTCCTCAACTGTACTTACATGCTGCAAATTTGCAATAGAAGTTTTGGCAATAATTTCGGGTGTAAAAAACACCAAAAGCAAAAATAAAATTAAAAAAATGAGAACGCGTTTATGTGTTTATGTCTAACTTACATATATTAATGCGGTTGTGCTATATTAATTGTCATCCAGAGTACCTTTCATGTCGGGTCATGCATGATCATCCATATTAAGTACAGAGTAAGTTGAATTCAAATCAAATACGGAGTGGTAAAGGGGTGGTATTAGAACCTTTCTCCGAGGAGGTCAAGCATTCAAATCTCAAACGAAATAAAATATTAATTAAAAAATAAATAAATAAATAAAAATACGGATTATTGTAAAGGGATATACATATACACTATAACGGTCTACGGAAGGACAATGTTGCTTTTTACACATGCCAAGCATCTTTCTTGGCATATTTTCTGCTTCTTCACGTGGTTTATGCAGAAGGCTGGCAGAGAATTGACTACTCTTCACGTGGTTCATGCAAAAGTGATAAGCGCCGAATATTACATATTCAAATGTTTTTATTTGCATTAGTTAAGTCCATTAGTTGGTTCTATTGTATAGGTTATCTTCATTTGCATGTCTTTGTTTATTTTCAGGTTTGTTTCCCAAAAAGGAATAAGAATGATGTTTTGATGAGTTCTTGAAGATCGAAGCATATCGGGCCGGGGATCTACAGTTTGCAAAGCTAATTCGTGCCATTGAACTCATGGCATTCTCTACATCGTGCTAAGAAGGAAGTAGCGTCATCAGGCCGAGCCAAAGGTCAATTTTAAGAGAGTGTTTTTGAGCCTAGGAGCATTGCGGGCGCCCGCCAGCCTCATGCACAATTCCTACGAGTGCCCGCCATTTTGTGATCATTGAATTTAAATTCCAAAGGAAGAAAGAATTGCATTCCAGTAAGTTTTAAATTTGGCGGGGCGCCTGCCATTTGCCATCAGGAGAGCCAAGGATGCCCTTTGCCAGCGTGTGGAAGCCCCCTTGACACCTCGCGGGTGCCCGCCAAGCTACAGATAGTAGGTCGCCAACTCCATTGTTTTGCTCAATGTTGTCTCCTTAACTAAATGAATGGCGCTGCACTCTTCTAGGGATTTCTAGCCACTAGATTAATTGATTTTGGTAGGATTTTTAGCTCATAAAAAGGGCTTGAATGGTTGTAAAGACATATCCAACTTTGTAAGGTTTTTTAGAGAGAAATATTGTGTTCTTGAGAGCTTGGGTTGGAGCTTGCTTCTAGGTGCGAAAATGGAGGGGCTGATCCTCTCAACCTCCTCCTCCCTTGCTTCTGTGGGTAACTAACTCCCTTTCTAGGGAGGTGATGAAACTCTTCTTTGTAAGCATGCTTTAGTTTTGTTTAATTTGGGAAATGAAGTATGTATATGGTAGTTTTATGATCTAGAACACTACACATGTTGTAATATATCTTAATTTCTATAAATGATTATATTGAATCTATTATCTTGTCTTAGATTATATTTTTTTATGATTGTATGGCTTGCATTTTCATAGTGAGAATGGAAATGAGATTGTGAAATGGTTTTTATTGGTATGTTGTATGAGAAGTTTGTTAGTCCATAACTTAGGGTCTCCCTTTGATGGATTCTTGGTTCTTGACTTCATGTGCTATTACCATAGTTATTGAGGAGTTTGATAGTCCTAACTTAGTGAGTATGTCATAGCTACATTCTAATTTAGGTAGTTCAAGCATGTGAAACTTTGAGGGATTATAATCTCGTCACAAAAGATTTTTCGCAACAAAAATTTTTGTTGTAAAAAAGTTAATCTTTTGCAACAAGAAATTTACTTGTCACGAAAGATAAGATGATTAGCAACAAATAATTTGTCTCATTTTCTCCAAAAATTTGTTGTTTAATTTAATTCGATTCCAAGGACTTTTGTTGCTAAAAGGACTTTTGTTGCGAAAGGTTTAATCTTTTGGCGACAAAAATTTACTTGTCCTTAAAGAGATGACAAATAGAGACAAACAATTCGTCTTTATTTGTCCACAAATTTGTTGCTTAACACAACTCCAATACAAGGAATTTTGTTGCCAAATATACAACAATTTGCAACAAAACTAATTTTGTCACTAAATATACAACAATTTGCATCAAAACTAGATTGTTGCTAATAATGTAACTATTTGCAACAAAATTGAATCTGTCACTAAAGATAAAACAATTGCAACGAAAATATAATTGTTACCTAATTATAATGCAATTTGCAACACAAAAATATTTGTCACCTCATATAGTGCAATTTGCAACAAAATTACCTTTGTCACAAGTGTTGATATTTAACAATAAATATTTTTAGTTGCCAATTTTTTTAAATTTGTGGATAAATGCATTAAAAATCATTATTTGATTTTTTTTTGTTCTCAATAATCTTTTTCTTCCTCTCAATAAACTAATTTATAAGACATCTTTTTTTCTCATTAATACCAAACATGTCAATTAAACAAATTTGATATCAATATATTACAAATTATCAATGAAAAGGTAAAATATTATTTCATATATCCAATCATCTATACATATTCCAAATAAAGGATCAAGACAAGATTCACATACATAGAGAATTATTAAACCTATATCCAACAATATAGGGAGATGGAAGATCCAAAAGTACAAAAGTGAGTTTTTAATAAGCCCATATGAAACAAAAAACATAGTCAATGGGACTGTAACAAAAAGAGAGAAAAAAACTAATACCAGCTTCATGTAACCTGCCAACAGGGAGATGAGAGATCCATAAATACAATCCCTTGTAAGAACCAAAACTACAAAAGTGAGTTTGTTTTGTGCCCAATAAAACAAAAAATATAATCAATGGGACTACAACAAAAAGATATTAAAAAACTAATAATCCCAACCACATGCAATCTGCCAACAATGGGGAGATGAGAGATCCATAAATCCAATCCCATGTAAAAACCAAATGTACAAAAGTGATCAAAAACCTAATCCCAGCCACATGCAATCTGTTAAAAAAATAGAAAAATTATGATTAGTTCAACCACTACAACAAATTTAAGTTTCTACAAGGTCTTCTCTTGTTTTCAAGGCCCTTTTTACACACTAAGAATGCGAAAATATAAACCAAATAACCAACCATTAGATAACAAATAATTATTAAAGAAACACAAACAAATATCTTAACCAATTCACATCAAAAGCCAACATGTTTAGAATGGTTACAAATACATTAACATAGTTCTAGATAAATGAATAAGAAAATCAAGATTAATATTTTTAACTAATATAAACCAACAATAGATATTAAGCAATGGTCCTATCAAGTGATTCTATAACTTGTTATCTTTTCTAATGTGACTTTGACCCTTCAAGAGTTTAAAAAATATACAAACCTGATATAGTGCACAAAATATATGAAATTTGGAAAGAAGAACAAGACATATTTTACGAAGGAATTCTGAACCGCGGAAGCCATTATTAATGACATTATTCAAATTGTGTTCAGGTTCTTTTTTGAGAGGGTATGCCATCTTTTCTTTATCTGTACCAAATTGTTTATATTTATTCAATCTCATTTTCATATAGGGAAAAAAAAAAAAAAAAACAGAATAAAGAGATTGTTTTTTTATACCTAAAACAAATTTGTGTTACTTTTAAGCAATTTGGGCTATTCTGAATTCATTGATCACTACAAGAAAAAGGCTTTTAACGACCTGTAATTGAGTAAGTCTTCATAAGTACTAATTTAATACTTATTTTTAAAGTAAGTCGTTAAATATCAAAGCACACTTATATTCATGGCTTATACTGGTTTGCCTATTTAAGTTTTTTTTTAAGACGTGCATTCTTTACTATAACGACTTATTTTTTATATCATAAGAAGTGGGCAAAAAATTCTTTAAAACTCTAATTCCCTCATGCAATGACTAAAGGAAAAAAAACTTTCTCGCGCTAAGCTTATAAGCCCACTAACATGGCATTACATTTCAGATAGAAAGAACATCATTGACATCAAAGTGATCGTGCCAAAGCAATTGGCAGTTAAGCGCGCAACAATCAAAACAAGGTGTTATAAGCTATATATATGAACCTCCAAGCATTGTAGTTGGCATGTTGCACATTTAATTAAGTGTAACAGCAACTAGTAAATCATAAGAAAGTTGTCCAAAATCAAAATTAGAGAGATTGATTGATTCAGATCATCAAACTGATTACAATTTGAAAATGGCTCTAGCAATACCAGTGAGAAAGAATGCATGTTTCACATAAAGAGTAATGCCAAGAGAAGGGAAAGACAAAAAATAACATATATCAAGGAAGTAAGAAAATATATAATAACATGCCATTTAACTGAAAATATGACCTCAAAGCAAAATGGACCATCAAATAGTTGGACAAGGCTTTGTACGAGTTGAACAGTGAATTGCATCAATTGACCAGTGTTTTTATCTTCTCTACTTAAGAACAAGGCATTACTCCTAACTACTTAAAATCACCCACAATCTCTTCAACTTTCTCCGAAGTAAATCTAACTTTTGCTTCAATAAAAAAATATGGAAAAAATGGTTCAATGAGACGTTGTATACCTGAAAACTGAAAATTCATTCTGTTATTACATCTGGACAAATTCGAGATTTGTTGCGTACTGAAATGCACAGAGTCACACACACAGAATACTAACAATCAAACCCACCCCGGTTATAACAAGGCATAACATAGCCCGCAGCCTAGTTAAGTTGTGCTGCATCACCTCCTTTGCCAAGACTGCAACCACAACTATGAACTTAATAGTCTATTATAGAGAGATTTGGAGAGAACCTAGAGGCAGAATATATAAGGATTGGAATCGAATTAGACATCCGACGAGGAAAGGATTGGAATTGGGTGAGACTCCCAGTGAAGAAAGAAAGGACTAACAAGTGACAATATATATGTCCAAGAATTCCTATGAGTACAAAGGAAATGTTGTGATCAATCAATGGATATTGAAGAGATCGATAATGTGCAAATAAAACCGTGACTAATAAATATTGAAGAGTGGTTCTACTTTAATACATTAAGTCAATACCTAATTTGATTTGATTGGATTTGTAATTCAATAAAAATCCTATTAAATGATCATTTTAAAAAATCCTCATAGAAAAAAGTCCAAAATTAACCATAATTACAATTCGATAGATTTTATGGAAAGCAAAGTAACTACCAACATATCCTTTATATATTCCAATTTCCTGCTTTTGGAATTTGGAATACATGAAGGAACCAAAGCTCTGCTCGGCTCATTTATAGGCTTACAGCCTTATTAACTAAGCTTGAGTCAAGTCCGAGCTTTTTGAAAATTTACCGAGCCTAACCAAGTCCGCCCGAACTCGAACACCTATCTAAAATGACAAGCTAGGGAAGAAAAGGATTAATAATTAAATTGATTTAGTCATGTTGGAAAAAATCTTTTCTTTTTAAGTGAAAAAGAAAGTTACTTAACTGGCCGGCTCAAACCTTAGGAGTTAGGCGGTTGCCTAAAGCTCCAAAATGTTTTTTACTTTGATGTAGTATATAATCTTTCTAAAAAATTTATTTCCTTCCAATAAAAAAATTTAAATAGTGGGCCAAAAAATTTCTATACTTTTCTTAATTATAAAAGAGCCAAAAAATTTATTTCCATATATTAAAATCTTCGTAAAAATTTTATAACCTTCCAATAGTGAAATTTAATATTAGACCAAAAGATTTCAATATTGGGAAAAATGGGTCAATGAGACGTTGTATATAAGGTCATTGTATGTTGCCAAAGTTTAGTCAGCCCATCAAAAAGCAAGTAATAATGTATTGTGAGCATCTGGTCAAAAAACCATGAGTGAAATTAAAGCTCAGGAAAAAAGAATGAAAAGTGATTATACTGTCAAAAAGAAAATAAAAGAATAAAAAGTGATTATTTGACCATTGGTATGACCAAGAGTATAGTTATGAATACCTTTTATTTAAGTCTTTCCTTTGGAACAAATTATTCTTGACATTATGCCGTTATCATGTGGTTGCTTTGTACTCCTGTGGTACAATGTGATCCCTATGATTATGGTGTTATATTATTGACATCATGCTGTAATCCTCAAGGTACATTGTAGAACCTTTTATTGGTCAATGGTACAATTAGTGCACCACCTTAAGATCCATGCAATTATGGTGTGTTAAATGGGTATTATATCATGATACTAGTTGAGATACTTAAGATGTCT